AGTATATTTTCAAAAAAATATGGGAAAATGTGCCTAATACTCTGTCAGTTCGTCTGTTTTGTCTGTTTTCAAAATTCCACACCGTTCAAGATACACAAATTGATCTCATAGTTATGCCATTTTTCACTGGAATAAGATTTTTTAACCCTAGAAATTTTAAAATTGTGTAAACTCTGAAAATACATACAGAAATTCCTTCTTACATTATAAAAGATATTATTAGGAATGTATGAGCCTGACGAATTGAAACCTCAAATTAATTTTTATTTCAAATCAGTTCATTTTTTTTAAATTATTCTGTAATTCTAATTTTTGGAATAATTTTTCTCTTTTGGCAACTCGAATGTATCTCATCTATATCAATAAATAAACAATTATCAATAAATATTTTATTTGCTAAAATAAATGTTATTTTAAATTTTCTATATTATTACCCTATAAAATTTATAGTATATTAATTATCCATTGTCCCCCCCCCCCCATTTGTCCAACACAGTAAGTTCTATTGATAAAAAGAATACTCTTGTACCTTAACTACAAGTTTCAGAGAATTTTTTATCAAGAATTGCCCCTAAATTTATGCAATTTTTTATAGTAATTAAAGAATTACTTAAATACAATGCTTCCATTACGAATAAGTACAAGCTCTTTGACTTAAATTGCTAACAGAAAATGTGCCGTTTTGTAAACCAAGGGTTTGATCGATTAAATTTGTGTTTTGTTGAACGCCATTCCTATTTAGACTAAAAATCACGTTTAAAATGAGCTTTGTGTATTTTATTTTTTTTATTATAAATTTTTTTTTGTACAAAAGAAGCTTTTTATTTTCATAAGGAATAGACATAGCGGCGCGGCGTTTGTGTCAATAATAATTAAAGTTTTATAAGTCTATATATGTATGTATATATATATAAGGTAACCGTTTCTATATTACTATACAGAAAATAATTGTCGGTAATTTTACTTTTATGATGTAAGCTTATAAGTAATATTATACTAATCTAGTTGCTATTGCATAAACATTTAAATATACATTTGCACGGTATATAATTATCATCAACCTTTAAAATTGATAAGCAATTGAATTTAGTTAAGTATTATACAAAATATTGTTATACATTTTTTTTTGTGGATTTGTAATTATATTTTATATAGAATTTAAAAAAAAAAATGAAAATTTGCGAAGAAACACAAATTATCAGTTTGCAAATAAATTTATTATTGGTAAATAATTAGAATTTTATTATTTTTTATAGTGGAACGTCATTCTATAATTACTTTTGCAATATTTGTACTTATGTAACAAAATGTTAAATGCGAAAAGAAAGGAGACTAATTATTAAAATTTTAAGAGAAAAATATCAATAATAAAATTGATAAATAGCAATGACAGTTCATTACATTTCAAATTATATGTTTATATGTAGTAAATTATATATGAGATGAATATGGGGTCTTTTGTAATTTTCAATTGGACAAAGGCGGTACCATAATTGGAATTTATAAAATTATCTCATTAGGCTCCGGACCAGAGACGTTTTAAATTTATTCGGCTGATTCTCCGTATACTCTTAAAGTTTAAACATGAGGGAGGCGTAGCGTTCCTTTTTAATGTTCCTTCGCCTACCTTTCCAGACCGTTGAGTCTATGTATTTGAAAAATTCTTGAAACATTTGATAAATAGTTTTTCAAACTGTTGGTTACCGCCATGACGATCATAATTTTAAAATTAATGCAGTACTATAGGTGAAGCAAGACTGTGTTATACTTGTTTTTTAATTTCTCTGAAATGGCCTCGCAATTTAAAATCTCCTTAATTATTCAACACATAATTTCTCAAACAGGGTCACACATAAATTGTTGGGATATTTTTGAAAATTAACAGAAGCGGATTAAAAAAACCTTGTTTTACTTTTGAAATTTAGGATTTTTGTTAATGTTTTAAATTCTGTTTTTTGAAAATTCAAGCAATCATACAAATTTTTATACCATCGTTTGTCATTCCAAAAGGGTTTAAAATTTCAAAATTTTTCAAAATTTCGATTTAACAAAATTTGTAAAATCAATCAATTGGGATGTCATCATATTTGTATGTTGCTAAAATTGGAAAGTTTTAAATTTCTTAATGAATTTAAAGAAATATTTTTAAAAACTATTTATTATTTAAACATATTCTTAATTATTACACGATTTTCTTATGAAAATAAAATTTTTGTAATAAAAATTACCAATTGTACCCTACGTATAAATTGCAAGTATACATTTTTGGATTATTTCTGTCATGTATCATTAATATTATTTCGCGACAATAAAAATGACAATATCTTTACTGTCATTTACAAATAATTGGCGCATAATTACATTTTATTACTCATTTATTTTGAAATTCTTATATTTTGTAAGAAAAATAAAATTAAAAGACAAAAAAAATAATTTAAATTACTCATAAATCAATTAATAAAACATGAGGTCTCATATGTATTCGAAACATACATATACACACATGTGCATAGGTATATGTATATGATTGTGTTACATTTTATGTAACACAGAATTTTCGAGATGAAAAATTGCACTTTGAAAGTTACAAAGCAAAGCAAAGCAAATTATTAATTTTGAGTGGAAAATTATAACAATAAAAAGTATTCAATTTTGTTTTTAATTTCTTATATGCATGCATACTGCATTTTGCAATACGTTTTTATTGCTACTCGTATTTGCATTGATAGTTAAAAAAATTATTGAAAATAATCAAAATCAATTGTTAATTTTTGTAATAAAGAACGTAAGTATGGTTAATAAACGTGTAAATTTGTTCTCATATGAAATTATTGTGACTTATAGGAAATCATAATAAAATTTCTGGAATCTGTCTTGATAATAATAAGTTATGCACTTATTTAACTTTAAGATTTACCGGCGACGAAGTGAAATTAAAATATACAATGCTGAAAACAACTAACCAATTAAATGGGATTGCAATAAACTAAAAATTTGGAAGGCTAGAAATGGAGTAGACTACATATCTAACATTTGCCACATATGTCAATCCGATTTATGAATTGTCAAATACTCTATATCGAAACTATATGTAGGTAAAAATATTTGAATTTTTATTTCAAACTTATTTAAATTTACATTTTTTTATTATTGATATATTTTTTGATCGTTGTAAAATTGTTAAAAATTTCGAACATGCCGAAAACATTTTCGAAAATATTTGAAATAAATGGACAGAATTAAAAATCGTATGAGTTGAAATTCTGATTTTATTTTTCTATAATTATTTAAGTATCAGCTATAGTACATACTTATACATAGGATAAAGACTGGCATTTATAGCAGACGTCAGTACTATTAAAAATATTTTGTTACTTTATTTATTCGTCCTCAAATCGTTAGTTTTCTTTAGTTGATATTATAAACTGAAATTGGCATCAAACTAAAAAATTTAATAATTTCCGTTTAGTTTTTTTATTATTACAGTAGAAATTTCAATTAAAAAGATAAACGTCATATACATGCAGGTATATGAAATTGTTTATATAGTAACAGTAAGGAACAACTCAAATGACAATATTGTATCAAAGAGGTGATTTTAACGGTAAAAACTGTTATGGTGTAATAAACTCTGCAGAGAAAAGCAACGATTTCATAATTAAAATTTATTTCGCCACTAAATAATTCGCTTTAATTTTTTTTTTTCTCTTGTTTGTGTTTTTTTTCACACCGCGCATACTGTATATACGTTTTGTATTTTAAATTTTTTTTTTATTTCTTATTAATTTTATTTTGAAAACATTCCAGAATATGTGACACAATTTTAATGGTTAATAAATTTAGGTGGCGTTTACTACCTACAATCATTTTAGTTGTGTGAATAAATTTTAATTTCCATGTTGATTTTTTCACCCCACACTATCAATTTCAGAATTACAGAGCAATAAAATGAGATTTTTTTTTTGTATTTAAAAAAACAAGAAGATAAAAATCGTATGTAAGTTTGTAAATTTACGTGTGTATGTTTAAAATATATTGTATGTATGTAACATCTATGTAGTTGCAAGCCAATAAATATATGGGTGTTCAGTATTAATACCTTAATAATTTTGCATTATATGTATGAGTGCTTGTATATTAGTTTTACACTTATTTAATTAAAATAAATGAGGCAATAATTTGTGCAAAAATTGAAAATAAATTTAAATGAATTGAAAAATGCAAAATATAATCTGTAATTTGAGAATAACATTCGAAAATAACTATACAATCTTAAATAATGTTTCAAGCGATTGTCATGAAAAACTTAAATAATCATAAATTTAAAATTTTTTTTTTTGCATTTATCCGGAAAATATAACTCAGATGGGCGTCCATTCCAAAAATTCAAAATTAACTTTAAATTACATAATTCCTGAAGTTGAATAAGCATGAATTTCGCTGCAGTTTAACTAAACTTCAAGTTTCTGTCCGTCATCATACTTTTGAAAGCGTAAAATTCTTGAACTTGCTCTACCATTTATGTAACAAACTAAAAATGATAAAAATTTATTCAGGTCATACAATGGGACAGTTATTGCGTGATTTCAGCCAACCTAATTCTTCAACTATTCGACGAAATAGCCACCTCTCTCCGTGCTCAAGAAATTCTGTAAATATGCTCTGCAACGACATTTTAGAGATATAATTTCTGTTTGACAGTGAGAATAACAAACAATCCTTCGGAGAAAATTCAGTGTCCGAATATTATGCCTTCACTGAGGCAAAGTCACCGAATAATTTCTAATCATATAAACTTGCACAAATAATATTCAATAGAATTAAATACAAAATTTAATATTAATGTCAATGTATAAGCAATTCAAAACAACAACACTTTTACAGTCTGAAAATTTACTATTTTACTAATGCAACCTGTTAAATAATTTCATGATAATTGCACTTACTAATCAAATTAAAGTAATTATTTGTGCAAGTTTAACATCGTAATTGTTTATTAGAACAAATAATATTTATTTCTTTAAATTCATGGTAACATTGTAATTAACAGTAACATGTTAAATATAAAAAAAAAAACAATAAATTTGAATTATAGAATTTTTAAATGCAATGCATAACGTCATATATAAAATCACTATTTTTAAATTCTACTTATTTTACATGTGTCATCAGAAGTCAATATAATTTTATAAGATGGTTTTTTTAATTTAGAATATTTTAATGCTTTAAAATTTGGTATTTCACGTCCCCCACCGGCTACAACTGGATTATATATATATGGACGTGAATTTAAACTTTTACATAAATAACGATTACAACATCTTGGATAAGGACGTTCAATATTCATTCCAATACTTTGACAATATTTATTTGAATGACCATCATTAGCTGGGCTAACATTACCGCAACTAAAAATTAAAAATAAAAATTAATACTAATAGGTATACAAGTAACAATGTAATTAGAAGTAAATTGGAGTGGAAATTTTTTTTACAAGTTGTAAAGAAATTGAACTGAAAAATTATAATAAGTTAGCATGTTCGCATTGTTAATCTGTAAATGAATCACCACTAAAAATGCCTGAATCAGATATCAAACATCATTCATAGATTTTGTATGATGCGAGTTGGATTATTTTTTATTTTTTTTATTTATTAATTTTATTATACACAATTTATAATAGTTAAAAGTAGCGTGTTCATAATTTTATTATTTTATAACTCAAACAGAATACAAGGAGTTTTGCATGTTAACTGTCGTAAAATGCTATTCAGATCAAACAAAATGTATGTACAATGTTTGATGTGTAAATTAACGTGTTTTTATTAATATAATTAAATTCAAATTTCACGATCGATTCTTTCGCGTACTCTAATGAACTTTTTGTTATTTTGTGTCCGATTTCATTAAAATTTTTCTAAAATATAGTTTTTAAAATAAGAAGAAAAAATATTATGATTTCTTACTAAAATACAATTGCAACACCTGGCTTAACACATCTTGCTACCCAACATTTTCCTTTTGGACTCCAATGATCACCTACATTCCAAGTATGACCAGTAGGACTATAGTAACATTTATCAGGATAATCTATGATAACAAATAAATTACATTTATTTAAAAATTTGTTTGGCCTTAATTTTTCTAATTTTCACCTTTGTGAAATACTGTACTGTCTTTAAATGGTTCAACATTACTTATTATAAATGTTATATTATCGAATGTAACACGAAATGCAAACACAATACTATAGTGAAAATTAAAAATTACAAAAGGTAAAATCCAATATTTCATTTCTGTGTATGGTTGACACAAGTCAAAAGATGTTTTAATACTGAACGCATTTCAAATGGAGATTTTTTTAAATAAGAAATAAAATTTAATTAAAATAAATTAGAAATGTTTTTTTTTGCATTTATTATAAATTCGATTTTGGTTCATTTTAATCTAAAATGTATGTAGGTGGTTATTATTAATAATTTTAGGTCAATTTGCAATTTTAAATTTAACCCCTGATATTTGACACGAATTAATTATTTCTTGTTATATTAGGCGCCATCATTTAGTGACGCTATTCAATTTAAAAAAATGAAGTTACAAAAAGAAACATAAGAGTGGAATTAAAGTAATGCTGACAAGCAATAATAATGTACAAGCAATTATTTTAACTTCTAAAAAGAGTAGATAAATTTATGAATTCCTCAACCTTTAACAATCACTAATTCTTTGCTCCATGTATAACATCTAACTGAAAATTTTTTACATATTATTATTAAACTGGCTAAAAATAGCTTAAATGCAATGGCTTTTTATTTACCTTAAATGTAATAAAAGTCATTCGTGCTGTAGGACACATCTTAAAAATTCATTTACAGCTTTCATTATTCATAATATAAATACATTGTATATATATATACGAGTATATATATATACGAGTATATATATATATATATATATATATATATATATATATATATTTATATTTATGCAGTATATATGAATATATATATATATATATTCATAGATACTGCATAAATTAATAATGCAGATCAAATAAAATTTTATAATAGCTGCAAAGAAAGAAAAACAAAATAATAAAGTGAGAAGAACAATCGAATCTTCTAATAAGATACGACTACATTTTGCCTTTTACTCATAACGTACGTACACATATATAATAGATGCTACATGCAACCACAGGGGTTACTTAATTAACCATTCAGAATTAAAAAAAAAATATAGTGTATATTACATTATATCAAAACCATTATTAAAGATATTATAAAAAATTTGTTTTAGGAAAATAAAACTTGAATTCAAATAAATTTCGCTAACAATAAAATTTTCACATCGATTTTAGAACAAACTGTTATACAACAGTATTATACAAACATAACATCATACACGTGCAAGTGATATGCTAGCGCTATTGTACAATTATGCATAATATTATTGGTATACATTATTGGTATGATATTTGTATAAAAATATTGGCTAAATATTTTTCCAGTTCTGTTTTTTTTTTTATTTGACTATATAGTGAACCATTATGTTGCAGTTTTTTTCAGTCAACTTGGCTTCATTACCCTGAAAATGTATTTGTGCCAATTTTCGTTTTTCATATCATTCTAATACTTGCAAAAAAAATCATAGTCCAGGGCTGAATTAAGTTTAAGCTTACTACATAGAATAAGAAATTCATTTCTTTTTGTCATTTATATTAGAAATGAATTTCTGTAAGATGTAAATGAATTATTGTGATTATATAATATATTTGTTCATAACGTAACAATCTTCTACGAACAGACAAGCATTTCTAATAAGCATTTCTACGAACAGACAAATTATTATTTTTGTTTCAATCAAATTGCTATTTTGTATGTGTCAAACTACTGTTGTGTTACGTTGGTACTTTTACAAGTTGCGTATATGTTCCACATTATATAATTTAATTTACTTGTCGAAATATTTTACATTTCACATTTGAATCAAAATCTTGATTTTCCCCTTTTGTCTTCGGTTTTGACACATAAACATATCGACTTCTTTTAAAAGCCCTTTTTTCATTTTCTGAAATAAATTTTTCTTTAATTCAATACTGCTTTTTTAAAACAAATTCTTCTATATTAGAATAAATTAATGAAGCGCAGACAAAAATTAAGATTATGGAGAAAAAAAAAGGGGGAACAATGAATGGTAAAATTTTAAAAAATATTAAATAATTTTTAATGGTGTTGACTTTATGAGATTTAAAATATGATAATGTTGCCTTCATGTTTCCTCTCATTCTTGTTATGGCAATTTTTCTGATTTAAAATAATATTAAAATGTTATAATGTGTGTAAGAAGATATACAAGCATATACATAGATAAATGATTGTCTCTAATCCAAATTACAAAAAATATTCTATAATAAAAATTAGCTAAATATTATTTTGTAAATACATATTATGTACATAAGTATGTACATAAGTACACCTCTTAAAATATTCTGTGTAGAATTATTTTTGGTTTTCATTTCATAACATTATTATATTGAATTTGTGGCTTCACAATAAACCGCATAATATTTCTCATATTCTTTTATTTATTGCTTTTATTTTTCTAGATTTTGGCTTTTATGGAATATACTTGTATGCCATTAATGCAATGTTATGGTAGTAGGTATGTATTGTATTTTGTTTTATTTTCCCTATTTAAAAAATATGATACGGTGAATGTGAAAAATGTACTAAACAACCGATATAACACGACAAAATAATGTTGGTTTGATATTTTTTACATATTCAAACATAACTAAATAAAAAATATACCATGCTTTGTATATGCATATTGGGAGTGTATGTATATTTGTAAGAATTCTATAGAATTTAATCTTTCTAAATACATACAAGTTAGGTATTGTTAGGTTTTTTTTTTTTAGTTTTTTTTATCAAACCAGACGTTTCGGCGCCCAAATGATTTTCATTTTTTTTTTAAAGTGTTAAAAAAAATAGCTAAACAACAACAGCAGCAATAAAAATAATAAAGACAATTTTTTAAAATGATTAAGAATACGCGTATGTGTGTAGTGTTCTATCTCTATATGGTTTATGCACATAATAAACTTTGTAGGCCTAGGTGTAGATTTTTATTTTCATTTCTATTTTGCATATACTTACTAAAGCAATATGTGTATGTGGTTAAAAGCCATGAACTTTTATTGCATTTGGTAAATTTTTTTTAACATAAAAAAAATATTCTAAGAAATATATACGTTCATGTAAGTACATATATACATATGTAGACAACAAAACTAATGTTATATGTATAAATAGTTTTAATGTTTAAAATGTCTGAATTACAGATAGTATACTATTATGAAATTATACGAGTATATTCGCAATTATACTATGATAGTTAGAATGTTAGACTTTTCAATTTAGCAGCGATATAATGTATATATGTAAGGCGATAACACAAGAAAAATGGTTTTATATAAAGAAAAGCACTTATGTATGTACCTACATATGTATGTTTTTTCCCTCAAAATGTAATTCATAGCTACGAAAGTGACTGATGAAATTTGTGTTCAGCTCATTATGTAATTATGAGCCGTATATGTACAATATCTAATTAATCTAATATAACAATTTTATTTTTGTAAACTATTTTAAGAAATTTTAAAATTTTAAAATGCTACTTTTAATCGGAATATTTAGATTAATAAATCTATTACACAAACTTTCTAAAATCCAACAATACGCATTCTAGATATTTTGAATGAGCAGTAACATTTGATTCAAAGTTAAGCACATAATTGAGAACAACAATGAATGATATTTTAACAGTGAGAAATAACTCTGAATTTACACTTATTTTCTCTTGCTACGCTTATATTCTCTGAAGAGAATTTAAATTTAATTTTCTTGCAAACAGATTTTTTTTTGATTTTTTTCTATTTGAGTGTGTACCATATGACATTTGAGTATGACAACAATGTAAAGTTTTACTAATTATTATGATTATGTTGCTATAAGTAAGAATGAGCCAGTAAGTGTTATAACAATAGTTATCGAAAAATATTTAATGTTATGATGTTATGAACTTCTTATGATCAATAAATTTTGATGAAATTGTATTGGACAGTCGTTGAGATTGGTTTTTGTATGCTCTTTTACTTTGTTTTTTCAAAAATTCTATTCTATTACATTTTTGTTACAGCATAATTTAAATAAGTTTTAGAATTGTGTTACGAGTATGCAAGTAAATATCATGGCATAAGGTTATTAAAATAATGTATAATGTGCGTAAGTGTTAGTTGCAACGAAATTTGATTTTTCGAGTAAAAGTTGACAGACTTGTACCACTTTAATTTAAAAGTGTTGAATTTAATTCGTAGGGTCTTGAATATTAATAAAAGAGAAACTTAATATTACAATCACCATCAATGTCATACAATAGATATTAATTAAGAATTTTAAAATTTTTCTTATAAATTACAAAAATTTTGCCTTATGTCTGCAAGCATAATTTGTAAAGGAACCATATGAATCGAATTTAAATAGCATACTCCTGATGTTTTAAAGCGTTAAACCATTAAATTTATTAAATGTAATTGTGTTATCATTCTAAATATTTGCATTAATTATTCATATGTAGAACAAGAGAAATTAACTTGTAGGTCTTCTTTCATATACTCGTACATAAGTTTTAATTAAATTTTCTTTCAGGTTTCTTAAGATCCATAGAATTTTAATTTGAAAATTACTCTAGCGAATAACTTTTAATATGAATATTATTACATATCTATGTAAATATTTATATAACAAATATAGAATTTATTTATAACACTCTTTTAATCTATACGTTGTAATAATTTTTCATATAATTATATATTGAATTTCAAAAAATTTCAACCAAAAATTATTAAAAATTATTCTACAATATTGTGGTAAAAAAAAATAAATTATAAAGTTTATTCTATCAATAAATTAATTTTAATAATTTAATTTTTTAACCCCATGTATATTTCTACATTTTGTGGTTTAGCGGCATAAAATTTGAGTATAAAGGTATAAGATAATTTTAATTTTTTTAATTAAAGCCGAATAGAACATTGTAAAGAAGGTTTTTTTTAATGTTATTTTATTTCAAAAATTGCTAGAATCTTTTAATATTTCAAGAAATCTATTTTAAAATTTTAAGTAATTAAACTGAAAATTTTTTAGAATATTCCCGAATAATTCCAAAAAATTTTAAATGTAGTTCCTTTTGAGTTTAGTAATTTACAGAAGGTATAGTTGCAAATTTGCAATCAAATTATT